TTCCCAATTATGGCCATTTTAGAATAGAGGATCTTAAACCCCCATGAATCCCCAAGCAGGCGTGGGGGCTGGGGAAATTCGGGGATTGGAAGTCCACTCATCTTAAAGTGGCCAAGTTTGGACAACACTGGTCTAAGAGATTGCTAAAGTGAGGTCACTTCCTTTTGCCTTTGACTCCAGGTAAACAGAGTATATGCTCTTTGACTCTCCTCTTGGTAGGATGTAGTTAGCAACGTTCTAGGACTGGCCTCCCCCTATAATGCATTTCCTGTAGTAAATTTCCTTTCTGTAACAAAACCTGCTTCACTGATCATTGCTCAGATCAGATTCTAGCTTTCAGGAGCTCTCACACATACACATAGAACACTTCATCCTCCAACCCCAACAGTCTCCATGATCAACTATCAGAATTATGTAATACCATATGCCAGTGTCAAAAATCTCTAGTTCAATTATGAAAATAGAAGGTTTCTTAATGGAAATCAGTACCCCTCTGGCAGATTTCAAATTTCCAATTTTGTGGATCTGCTAAAATCCTGCTGGCTAAAAGATATTTTTCATCAGGGAGAACATGAGTTTCTTGTAAGAATAATAATATTCCATGCGATGAAAATTGATGTCATTTAATTTTTTTTTAATATGTAATTTTTCAGAGTGAAGATCAGGCTAGATCCTGTGTCCTGGGACAAGAGTACAGAAGCTCAAAAAATGGGAGACTTTGTCTTAATCAACCCAGCAATCAATCTTAAAAAAGAACCTCTGTCAATAGATATAATATAAAAAGCATATAGCAATACAGAGAAAATGGAAATCCTGACTATGATAACAACCATAGCATAATTATAGAAAAATCTACATACTACATGCTTAATTAAAAAAAGAGAGAGCAAAGATTTTAAAAAAATGAAAGAACAATTAACTGAAATTAAAGGGAAAAATATCTGTAGGTATTCCCCAGTAGGGACATACCAAGATGATAGATACTGTACTCTCCCTCCCTCTGAGCTGAATCTGAATTGCATGAGGAAAAAGATAAGGAAAAAAAGAAGAAAAAAAAGGGGGGGGGACAGAAAAACCCTCACTCCCATTTTCGTAGGCCATAAGTCTAAAGGACAAAGCCTCTAGTCAAACGAATAATTTCTCAGCAGACGATTGTGGTGTTCCTATCTAGGAATCTTTATTTGAAATAATTACCAACCATTTTTTCCCTTTTATTTTTGTGAATGTGTATTGTTATAGGTTTTAACTGTATAATTATTTATGGTTTTAACGTGTTGGGAGCCGCCCAGAGTCCCCCATTGGGGGGAGATGGGCTGGGGACAAATTTAATAAATAAATAAATAAATAAAATGAATAAATAAAATTTCTGGATTACAGAATTTCCTCACAGCAGAATCCAGCTAGGCCAAAAATGGCAGGCTATAGCAAAAACAACAACATTAACCAAACACCAAACTTCCTAATGCCTCTTTACCATTCTTAGGGGCAGTTCTGGAAATGACGTTAGATTTTTGTTATCCCGTTCCAAAACATTTGCTTTCCTGGCAGGCTGTAATTTGTTATTGCGTACGGAACTTGAAAAAAATTCACAACAACAGGATTTGGACTTTGTAGAGATTTATACCTGGAAGATGCACAAACGTCTCTATCAGTGAAATTATTGCAGTATAGTCTAATTGGAACAGCTCTTAAAAAGACTATTTTTGATCTTCTAGGTAAAGAAAATTCACAACACATTTCTCCTCCTGCTTGCTTGTCCTTGAATCTAATCCAGTTCTTCTTGCCAAGCCAACAACTGTTTTCATGTTAGGTTTAGTTATTCTATATACAACAACCTTTTCCTCTTTTATCTTAAAATCTCTCTCTCTCTCTCTCTCTCTCTCTCTCTCTCTCTCTCATCTTTTCCCATATGTCTATTTTTGCAGCATATTCCAAGAGCGATCTATTAACAGCCTGTATCACAACCATTTTGTTGAAATACGTTACATTTTGGACTTGTACATTGGAAGGAACTTCTCACTGCTGGACTTAGAATGGTTTTCTGTGTATCTCTCATTTGAACTGGAGTTCCAGCCTATGACCCCACCTCATAAAAGGATCGTTAATCGTTATGACAATACTGGGAAGG